AGGCTGATCAAGATTAAGCCCGCTCTTCCTCCTTCACTAGTCGAGGAGCCGTCTACGTAGAGTTTCCAAAGCAGATGAGTGGAGAATTTGGAATTTGAAGTGGAAAACCGGGGAGGTGCAGCCTGTGATGCCTGGGGATCCAAAGGTGCAGCCTGTGGTGCCTGGGCATCCAGAGGTGCAGCCTGTGGTGCAGGAGCCAGAGGTGCAGCCTGTGGTGCCTGGGCATCCGGAGGTGCAGCCTGTGGTGCCTGGGCATCCGGAGGTGCAGCCTGTGGTGCCTGGGCATCCAGAGGTGCAGCCTGTGGTGCAGGAGCTAGGGTGCAGCCTGTGGTGCCTGGGCATCTGGAGGTGCAGCCTGTGGTGCAGGAGCTAGAGGTACAGCCTGTGGTGCCTGGGCATCCGGAGGTGCAGCCTGTGGTGCCTAGGCATCCAGAGGTGCAGCCCGGGATGCCTGGTCATCAGAAAAAGTTGTTTGGGCTCCTGGGGAGGAGACTTGGGCGCCTGCTTGAGGGTCTTTGTTAGGCTTCTTGATGTCTCCGTTGGGCATTTGGGGATCCTCATCGTTCCCATCTTCTGTTGGTGTGAGTTCAGCTACGAAATCTGCTAGGGCTTGTGCTTTGATGGCCGTCCTAGGTTGGTACTGAATGTCGAACTCCCCGAGTTCTACTGCCCATTTAAGAAGTCTGCCAGATACGTCCGCTTTCCCAAGATTCTTTTAAGAGGTTGGTCGGTGATGACCACCATACGATGGCCCTGGAAGTAGTGTCGCAGCCGTCTCGCTGTCGTGACCAGAGCGAGTGCCAGTTTTTCTAGTGCTGAATATCTGACCTCTGCCCCCCGGTATGCCCTGCTCACGTAATAAACTGGTTTTTGCACTCCATTGTCGTTTCTAACGAGCACTGAGCTTACCGCTGATGGGGAAGCAGAAAGGTATAGATGGAGAGTTTCTCCAGGGGTAGCATGTGACAGGAGGGGAGGTGCTGCTAGGTAGGCTTTGAGCCTTTGAAAAGCCTCATCTGCCTCAGGTTTCCACTCAAAGGCTTTTCGGAGAGTTTTGAAAAAAGGGAGACATTTGTCTGCAGATTTGGAGACAAACCTATTTAATGCTGCGATTCTTCCATTGAGGCGCTGGAGCTCCTTGGTTGAGGAGGGTGACTTCATGTCAAGAATGACCTTGATCTTGTCAGGGTTTGCCTCAATTCCCCTCTGATTGACCATAAAGCCCAGGAATTTACCAGACCCCACACCAAAGGCGCACTTCTCAGGGTTGAGCTTCATGTGATAGGACCTCAGGACGTTGAAAGTTTTTTGGAGGTGATCAATGTGGTCTACTGCTGCAAGGCTCTTTACCAGCATGTCATCCACGTACACCTCCATTGTTTGCCCGATCTGAGACTGAAACATCTTGTTCACCAGCCGTTGGTAGGTTGCTCCAGCGTTCTTTAGCCCAAAGGGCATGACCCTGTAGCAGTATGTCCCCTTTGGCGTGATGAATGATGTCTTCTCTTGGTCTGGGGGATGCATGCTAATCTGGTTGTACCCCGAGTATGCATCCAGGAAAGTGAGCAACTCATGCCCAGCGGTGGCGTCGATGAGGAGGTCAATCCGCGGCAGTGGATAACTATCTTTTGGGCATGCCTTGTTTAGTTCTGTGAAGTCGACACAGAGGCGCCACTTCCCATTAGCCTTAGTAACCATTACTACGTTGGAGAGCCACTTCGGATACGCCACTTCCCTGACTGCCCCGTTATCAATCAGCTTTCTAACCTCCTTGTCCATGGCTTGGGCCCTTTCAGTGGAGGCTCCCCTTAACTTTTGGCGAACAGGCTTGTACAGTGGATCGACATTGAGGCGGTGGGTAGCTACTTCCGGGTCGATGCCCTCAAGGTCCTCATGCGACCAAGCAAAGATGTCCATATTACGCTTTAAAAAATCAATCAACAGGGGAGCCAGCTCTTCAGAAAGGGAAGAGCCAATGTAAATTCTTCTGTCTGGGTGCTCCTTTTCTAAGACCACAGGGATGAGTTCCTCGACTGGTTCTCCTCTTTCTGTTGCGGAGTCATCCCTTGGGTCAAGGACCTCAACCTGCAATGCTTCTTGGGGCTTCCTAGCCTTCATAGAGGATACATAGCACTCTCTGGCTGTTATTTGGTCCCCTTTGACCTCTCCGACTCCATTTGAGGTTGGAAAGCGGAGAACGAGATGGTAGGTAGAGGGCACAGCTCTTAATGTGTTAAGAGCTGGCGCCCTAATATGATGTTGTAGGCTGACGGGCACTCTATTACCAGGAAATTGACCATGACTGTGGAGCTTCGGGGTGTTACTCCGGCGGTGACGGGAAGTGTGATGGATCCAAGGGGATACACTTTTTCCCCTGAGAATCCAATGAGGGGTGACCTGATTGGCTGTAGCCTCTCCCTGCCCAGGTTGAGCTTGTCATAGGCAAACAGGATATCTGCAGAGCTGCCACTATCCACCAGGATCCTGTGCACATGAAAATTGGCCACCGTCATGGTGAGCACCAAGGGGTCGTCATGGGGGTGCTGAATTTCCTCCAGGTCCTTGTCTGAAAAAGATATGACCTCGTCGCCTTCCTGCTTCGGCACCTTAGATGGGCGCATCTCGTAGACATGTCTTGCCTTCCTGGCATGGGCCTTCATCGCGGAAAGTGATTCTCCCCCACCTGCTAGTCCCCCTGAGATGGTGTGGATTTCCCCCACGGGCTGCTGATCTTCCTGGTTGTGAGGTTGTGGTGCTCGTTCCCTTCCAGCAACGTACTGGCGTAAGTGACCACGCTGGATGAGCTCCTCAATTTGCCTCTTGAGGTCGTAGCAATCGTCGGTGTCATGCCCGTGGTCACGATGGAAGCGGCAATACTTGTTAGGATTTCTGCGATTTGGAGGAGACTTCATTTTTCCAGGCCACTTTATCGCGGGGTCATCCTGGATCTGGAATAGGATGTGTTCCACGGAAGCATTGAGGGGAGTGAAGGGTTGACGGTTCCTCTGAGGAGCAGAACCTAGCCGGTCCTTGACAGGGACTTTCTCTGTCCTGCCATGTTTGTTGTTGGTCCCCTTCTTATCGTCCCTCTCCCTTTCCTTCCTTTTCTACCCTGCTCTGGAAGACTCACCCCGCCTGGCCCTTGTGATGTCTTCTGCGTTTATGTACTTTTGGGCCTTGGCTAGCAGCTCTGGCATGCTTTTGGTGGGCGCTTCAGAACTGAGAAAAGGAAGCTTGATGAACAGAGGCCACCCAAGAAGGCGGTCATCGTCACCTTGTCGTCGGGTTCATCAACTTGGAGTACCTCCTCGTTAAAACGAGTGAGGTAACTCCTCAGGCTCTCCTCGCGGTCCTGCTTTATACTAAGCAGGTGCGTAACTGGCTTCTGGTGGCGACGCCCTCCAATGAAGTGTGAGACGAATGATCTGCTAAGCTCGGCGAAAGAGGCAATAGAGGCGGGGGAGAGCTTAGCAAACCACTGTCGGGCAGACCCCTTTAACGTGGTTAGGAATGCCCTGCACATGATTTTGTCTAGTACGTTGTGCAATTGCATCAAGGTCTTGTAAGTGTCGAGGTGGTCCAGTGGATCCTTTGTTCCATCAAAGGTCTCCACAGATGGCATTTTGAATTTCTGAGGGAGGGGATAGTTTGCTACATCAGGTTTGAAAGGCGTATCAGTACGCCTTACCAGGTGGTCAACAATCTCGGGTCCCTGTGCCTTCATGGTGTTGAAGACATCGCCCAGTTGATTCTGTACCTCCTTTATCTTCTCGTCCCAATGATTGGGGGCTCTTCTGGAATGATCATGGAAGTGGCTTCCATGCTCCATGCTTTGGTTTTCACCCTCATCCTCCTGGAGATAAGGGTCCTCTCCCTGGAAATCAAGGGGAGGGGGAGGTGGAGCTCCCTCATGTTGGGCTTCCCGAAGTGGGGCGCCCGGGCGTGGAGCAACAGGGCGTGGTGCTCCTTGATGTCCAGGACGTGGAGCTCCTTGGGGTGCTCCATGTTGTGCACCTCCGTGGGGCCCTTCATGTTGTGCACCTTCGTGTGGTGCTCCACCTTGGGGTCCTCCATGCTGTGCACCTCCGTGTGGTGCCCCTCCTTGTCCAACAAATATGAGTTGCAGTAACTGTTAGTTTTGGGCAACCAGTTGCTGCATGATCTCCAATATTTGCTGGGGATTCGGAGCTAGAGTATCCGGAACAAGGTTGATAGGCGGGGGAGCAACCTCTTCCTTTCGTGGAGGATTGTCTTCATGTTGATTCATGGATCGAGTAGTGATCGCCATTAGTTAATGGGTGTAATGTTCAGGAGTGAGAATTTTGTTGATTCCCACAGACGGCGCCAAACTGATGATGCACAAAAATAATTTTTCACACCACCTGTCAAGTGTAGGTAATAAATGCAGTGAAATCAATGAGAAAATTAAAGAAGACACGATTTATAGTGGTTCGGTCAACTCGACTTACGTCCACTCTTCAATAGCTTCAGTTGCCGGGTATTTTATTAATTCAAATGTATGGAGAATAGAGATACAAGTTTTGAGAGAAAGGAGAATCAAAGAAGCAGTGGTCTCCGGTTGTCGGTCTGTCCTCTGTAAGTGTTGGTGGGGAGTGCCATTTATAGTAATCTCCTAACAGATTGGGGCTACTTTATAGCAGCTAAGAGATCATTCTTGTGGAGATCATGACTTATCTCAAGGCTACTTTATTGCAGTTAAGAGATCATTCTGGTGGAGATCACGACTTATCCTCAACAGAAAGAGGAGGTTGGGGAGCTCTTCATGAAACGTGGTCAAAGATTAGACCGTTTCCTTCGGTGGTGCAGATAAGCTTCTCATGCTCTCCTCTTGATGACGTGCTAAGCAAAAAGTCTAACCGGTCTTGGACTTGGTGGATTCAAAATGAGGTTGGACTCCTCAACTGGGGTTGGACTTTAACACATAAATTAGACTATTTGGGCTTAACCCATCAGTTTGAATTGTATAAATAGGTATTATAATGATGGTTGCGTCACAGAGGAAATCGATAAACAAGGTGTTTAAGAGGGTTGTGATTTATGGGTTTGGAAGGAAGGGCCAAAAGAGAAGTAACTATGAGATTCAGAACAAAGATGAGACAAGGGAAATGGTGCAGATTGGTGCTAAGATGACAAAAAATGTGCTCATCTTGATGAGTGATATTGATGGCGGTCATGGAGCTTCAGTTGAATTTCTCTTTCCTCCTCTCTCACTTACACACATGTATGTGTATGTATTCAAAATTGGAATTCGGAATTTCTTTGACCCCAAATTTTGCAATTTCATCTAAAATCCAAATTTATAATTTTTTGGAAGTGGAGTTGTGGTAAATTTGGGATGCAACTGTGGTGGTGATGCGTGTGTGGTTAGTGGCTGTGAGTGTGTGGGGGTGCGATTGCAGTGAAGGTGGTGAGTGGGTAGGTGTTGTTTTCTTTGCTGGAAGGTAGTGATGTCAGTGACGATGGGAGTGGCGTAATTAAGGATGGTTGTGGTTGCTAGAGGGGTGATGAGTTATTTTAATTTGAGTGCTTAAATAATTGGCGACAAAGAAGAAAATAGAATGGAGACAGAACGTATAGAAGGGTTGTACAGGTATTTTACGAAAAAAAAAATTGCATGGCATCATTATTTTTGATTTGCCAATAACGGAGTTTCCCGGTAAAGCTTGTGATTGAAGTGAACATATGAACTAGGAGGTTATGCGGTAAAATTTCAGAAAGATAAAGGGGTGTCGTTAAAATAAATGATATCTATAAGAGGTGCAGATGAAATTTAACTTGGAATTTGTTAGTGTCTCAATTTAGTCCTAAAATTATTAATTTCGTTTTCAATAAAAAAATATCATCCTTTGAGATAAGCTCATATGTTTGTACTTGTAAATTCCCGTCATTGGTTTTAATGGTTGAAAAATGAATATAAGAATTTTATTGATATGAAATTAGTGATTTAGGGACTAAATTTAAAAAGTTGAATGATTCTATTTTAAAGCCAGGGGCAAAATATAAGGACTAATATTTTTTTCTATAATGTCAAAAATAATCATCATTCATCACCATACATATAAATATTGTTAGTCACCAGCAAAAAAAAGATAAATATTGTCAGTCCCTTGTAAAATTTGATGGGATTGGATAGAATGGGTATTGAAGCAAATTGAGACGTTACATTCAGAAGTTTTTTTTTTTTTGGGTAAATGTTAAATTCGGAAGTTAGAGGGTGCTATTAAGATAAATTGATAAAATTAGTGGTATAATTTAGCAAATTTTTATTTTTTTTTGGTTTTGTTTTAGTCTCCATATTATGCGAGTTTCATCTTTATTTAATGGACCAGAGGGTCTCTGCTAAATTCATTGGCTTACAAAACACTTGAGGTTCGACCACCCCGCTTGTCCCTCCTGTCCAAGCCTTCAAGAACACATTTGCTTTCTTTTTATCTATGTCCCCTACCTCTCTGAGCTTTCTTTTACTTCTCTCTCTCTCTCTCTCTCTCTCTGCATTTCCTCTTTTCCATATCCAACTCACCGGAGAAGATACTGGCCGGCTTTACCGGATTCCTTCATGTGTTCAAAATGGGTTTGTCAGCAGCAATGAATCGGAATCTGATGTGTGTGGCACAGAAAACCGCCAAGTGCAGAGGAATCTTCTTTGGTGATAACCCCTTCAAATTCCCAATTTCAGTTCTTCTGGCCCAGCTTTCTCTTTGTTCTTTATTCACAGCCATATTGCAGTTTTTGCTCGCACCTCTTGGTGAAAGTGCGTTCATTTCACAGATACTTGTAAGCTTAGCTTTATCTAGTTCTTTTTCCTTTCCATTTGACATATGCTGTGACCATTTTAATAAGATAGTTACCTTCAGTACATCATTATCTCTTTACTTAATTAGAGTGAGTAACGATTATTAACACGCTATCAAAGCCAAATTTCTTAGTACAACCCACACGAAATAAAACCCCCCTTTAACACACAAAGCAATCATATGGATGCGATTAGACAAAATGCGGAAGACACATGCACCCTTCTGGATGTTATATCACAATGAAATTACTGAAACAAATGCAAGCCGATTCTTCTTGTATCCTTTAACATGCTACTGGGAACTTAATCTTTATAACCAGTCAATATTTGAATGTTTTAAATATCGAAAAATTGATCCGATTCAAATAAGTCAATTAGAGTTGGATTTTAGCAAATTATATCCGAATTTTAACTCAATTTAATCAAATAACTATCGAATCTCACCTTATTTTTATATATAATATGGATTGAAACACAGTCGGCTTCAATAGTGGTACATAAAAAACCGATCCATAAATTGTGACTTGAATTGATTCAGATTTGGAAAGTAACAATCCCTATCCGACAAATTGGTTGTGGATTCCATTTGCATTATTATCCTTTGACATGCCCTGGCCATCATATGGATTTAGCAAGCTCATGTGCCATTTCTTACAACCCCACCTCCCCCCTTCAAACAAAAACTCATGGTCTATAGTGCCAACAATCTAATTGAAGTAGTGATGCCTCTCTTCTTCATCAACAGTAAACATCACCACATAGATGGCAAGCTCAAGTTCCACTAAGTAGTGTTTATGCAGCAATATACCTTAAAAATTAAAGTGGAGCCAGTCTTGAGTTCTCAATTCATCAGGTAATGAATTTATTGGTGCCATGAAACATTCTTTTGACTCCATTAGTGTACGACATGGAAGAAAAAATATACGAAAATTATTTGATCTTTTAACCAGATGAGAGATTTATTTATTATGTCACCTCTGTGGTAATCAGGCTGGTGTGATACTGGGGCCATCAATCATCGGAAAAAGCCAGAACTTCAAGGAGCTATTTTTCCCATCGAACGGCTTCTACGTCGGCTATACATGTGCCTACTTTGGGTTAACGTTATTTCTATTTCTTGTTGGAGTGAAAATGGATCCAAGTCTGATACGAAAAACGGGGAGGAGAGCAATGGTCATAGGCATCAGTACCTTCGTGATGCCATTGGTACTTAACCTTGTTTTGGCTTTAATTTTAAAAAAATCTCTCACAATGGATCCAAATCTTCATAAATCGCTACTTTGGGTTGCATCATTTCAGTCCAATAGCTCCTTTCATTCCATTGTTTGCCTGTTAGCTGAACTAAAGCTGCTCAATTCAGAGCTTGGCAGGCTAGCCATATCTTCATCAATGATCAGTGGCACATGCAGTTGGTTGTGGACAACGATTGTCTTCACAATAAAGCAAAGCACTGAAGGAAAGAAGGAAGCTGTGCTTTTAATGTTCATATCCGTTGCATGCCTGTTTATTTTTGTTGGATTCATCCTCCAACCTATGATGCTTTGGATGGTTCGACAAACCGCTCATGAAAAAGCAGTCAAAGAGAGCTACGTAAATGCCGTTTTCATCATGGTACTTGGGTGTTGCCTGTTTGGTGAGATTCTGGGACAGCATTTTTTGTTTGGACCAATTATTTTGGGGATGGCTGTGCCGGACGGACCACCCTTAGGATCAGCTTTGATCAATAAGCTCGATTGCTTTGTTTCATCTATTCTCCTGCCACTCCACTTCGTCTTTAGTGGTGCAAGGATAGATCTTTCATTAATACACTGTAGAAATGTTGGTATAGTTGAGATATTGGCTCTTTCTGCTTACTTGGGGAAAGTAATTGGAACCATGCTGCCTTCCCTCTATTGCAAAATGCCTCCCGCCGATGCGCTGTGTCTAGGCATCATTATGAGCACACAAGGCATCATGGATATTCTAATTCTCGGAGGAGCATCGCAATTTCAGGTACTAATCAATATTGACAAATTCAATGGCATATCACCTTGTAGTGGTAAATACATTGTTTAAAAAACGATAAGAACATCTAACAACCTTTAAAAGCGAACCAAACAAAAGCCAAGTAAACTATTCTTAAGTAGAAGAATGGACCGCTTGGCCGGAGGAGAGGGTAACATTTCAACATAGGCAAACAATCCTACATTTATATATTAAAGGGCAACATAAAATAAGGAGAAGTATTATATGAACAAGAATGAGGTGGTGAAATCTAAAAGATGAGAAACTAGTATTATTTAGGAATAAAATTCTTAATGAGGTTGTATGGAATCTAACGGATGAGAGTAACGTTATATGGAATAAAATGATGGAATGCATTAGAAAAATTTCCAAAAAGGTTTTTTGTTAAAGGATAGAGGGCTTGTGGGAAAAGAAACTTCGTAGCGGAATAACAATGTACAAGATATAGTTAAAGTAAAGAAAGAATCCTTTAAGAGATGACAAGATAATAGAAATTAAGAGAACTTTCCAAAACATAAATTAGCTAACAAAGAGGTTAAAAAATAGTTAGAGACACTAAGTTAAAAACCTACGACGAGTTGTACAAAAAACTAGATTGTAAAAAAATGAGAAAAATACATCAACAAACCAACTAAAACTAGAGAAAGAAAAACAAAACATTTTAACCTAGTTAAGTACATCAAGGGCGATGATTCAAAGTTTTTAGTCAAAGATGAGGAAATAAATGAACGTTAAAAAGACTATTTTGAGAAACTATTAAATGAAAATCACTTAGAAAACTTAGAAGAAATAAAAAATTGTAAGATTCATCAAACTAGAGCACACACGTTCTTTTGTAGAATAACAAATTCGGAGGTAGAGATTGCATTGAAGAAAATGAAATTAGGCAAGACTTTAGGACCATTTGAGATTTCAACTAAGATTTGAAAGTACTTAGAGAATGATGGGGTGTCGTGGCTAACGAAATTATTCAGTAAAATTATAACTATTAGAAAAATGTTTGATAAATAGAGAAAATGTATTGTAGTACCTATCTATAAAAATGAATGAGACATTCAAAATTGTAATAATTATAGAGGGATAAAATTGATGAGTCATACAATGAAGCTATGGAAAAGAGTCATTGAACGTCGCCTAAGAGTTAAGACTATAATTTCAAAAAATTAGTTTGAGTTTATATCTAGTAAATCAACTATGGAGGTTATATATTTATTAACAACACTCATGGAAAATTATACTGAGAAGAAGAAAAATCTCCTCATAATATTTATAGATTTTGAAAAAGTGCATGATGAAGTGCATAAAAATATAATATGGAGGATACTTGAGAGAAAAAAGAGTGATGAATAGGTATATTGAGATGATAAATGATATTTGTAGCGGGGG